TTATAAATATATATTGAGTTCACTGGAAATTCTGGATTCCATAATTATAGTTCTTATTACCACATAGTTAGTTAAAAGAAAACTGGAGGAAAAAAGAACTGAATAAGGGGTTTTTATGCCATGCTCTATGCTAAAATTACGATGGAATTTTTACCACAAACCAAATTTTATTAAAAGTTTAAAAAACATATTTTATTGTGAAGTGTTTACCGAAAGCGCTTCGGTGAATATTGGCATGCTTTTAGGTGTTCTCATGGAGTCAGAAATACGGTAAATGCTACCGTCTTCTGGTAGTTCTAACTATATTTAATAAAAAACTATATGTAATAAAAAGTTACTCAAATTTTTCAACGACGATAAATTTTAAAGTTGCAATTACAAAACTAGAAACAACAATACACTTTTTTCTTCAATTATTATTTAAAAAATCACTGGCTGCGGTCAGTAAGCGGGTGGGTGACCATTTTGATCAGCTTGCGTAGGAACCGAGGTTGCGTGGTATTGGTCCCCATTAAACTGTTTTACCATAAAGTGCTCGACTTCGCGCGCTGGTCGTCGGGCTAACAAAGCAGGGGAGCAATCCATTCTGCAGAGGTTCCAAAATTGCGATGATATATATTCGGATCATCCTCGGGGTTGTTTCCCAGATCGTCGCCAATAGCCCATTGGGCAGCTATAGTGCGACGTAAATAAAGTACCTAACTACCTATAAAACCATTACTCCAAATCTATTTTTACATCTGTAAATGATTAGAATATACTCTTTCTTAATAAAAATTAGAAAATTCATAGATAATAGAGATTTCTGATGCTAAAAACAAAGCAATTATTTGCTGCTTATTACTTTATGTGTTAAATTATGTTATAATTATATAATAGCTTGAAATATAAGTATTGAATAAACTGATATCAATATTTTATGAATTTACTAGGAGGTTCCATCCCTGATCGCTTCGCTCACTTATCTCCAAAATTGCTTCACAGTTATTAATTTAATATTAAATTAATCATTCAATTTAATAATCAAAAAATGTTTTTTATATTAATGCAAAATTGTCAACGCAGGTTCTGTTTTCTCATCTTAATATAGAAACATAATTCTTATAATTTTATTCGGTTACCATGACAACTTTATCCGCAAAATTGCTTTATGAAATTCTTATTTAATTTTTGGTTACTTAAACACTTTTCAAAACACTTTTGCCAAAGAGTTTAACTTCTAGCAATAGTTTAGAAAGTTAATTTTTAACATTGATTTAGAATTTTAAATAGTTATTTTGTATTCGTTATTTTATATTTCAAAATTAATTGAAAAAATAAATCGTTCTGAAGTATTAAAAGAAGATTTAAGAAATATGAATTTTTAAAAATATGAATAAATTTTCATTTCAATTTTTTTTCATAGTTAAAATAACTCCAAAGAAGACATATAAAAACAAACAGTACCTAATAATATTTAGCAATACACATATTATTAAGGCAATTAATATAATAATATTAATATATGACAATAATATTTTGCAATATACATAATATTAAGACAATTAATATAATATTAATATATGACGATAATGTTTTAACGATACACATAATATTAAGACCATTAATATAATAATATTAATATAAGAAATAATATTTAACAATACATATATTATACATGTAAAAGAACAATAATATTTTGCAGTCGAATAATTATTAGCACTAACTCCTAGAATATAATCTTTATTTTTCGCAAAATATGGAAAGCTTCATCTGAGTGCAACTTTTTCCTAATTATACTATACTAGCAACTTTTGGCGACCAGCTTGGCCACTTTTCAAAATCATCTTGTACAACATTTAAACTTCATTGGTAACCAATACGAATACACAGCACAACTATATTAAAATATTCTAATTCGTCAACTCCTTTAATCCTAACACCTAAATTAGTTTTAAAACCATACATTAACAGAAGCTTTTTACCTTGCTGTTGCCCTCGCTGAAGTAGTTTAATTTCAATTTTAACTATCAATTATTGTTAAGGATCTTATAGCAGATCGATTCTTCTATTACATGGATCGTTGCGTTTTTAAAAAAGTGCTTAAAGGTGCGTATTTTCGATTTTCGGTATTTAAAAGCCCTTAAAGGTACTTTTTTCATTGGATGTTTTTAAAAAGAGCTTAAATTTTCCCTTTTCGAAAAGGAAATGTCGTTCTTCTCCGTGTATTATGTAAAAGCGTGCTTTTCACATTGTTCTATTCAACATTTTCGCAATTCATTCAACCACAATCTATTTCGGTGTACCGTTAGTCGTTAGCGTATGAAAGCACCAATCATTTTACATGTTTGATGAAATACCGCATGTGCGTCCACTAAGCTGGGTTCGGTGAGATTCTTGCACTCTCATGTGCCACTCTGCTGCATTTTGCAAGATATTCTCGATTTCATACTCCATTTTCTATTCTCTGATATTGAACAAAAATTCTCTCGATCATTTTATAATGGCTAATATAATCAAGAAAAGAGTTTTTTGTCAGAAGCTAATTATTTTATCATAATCGAGTAAAGTCTTTTTTATTTTGCATTTTGTTAATGTATAGTGCTTAAAAACATTTTTAATAGTGCTTAAAAAGTGCTTATTCTTTGTTGAATAATTTGGATGCGCATCCTGTGCTATATTCAAAATATTGCACAACTCCAATAATCTATTAATTTTTCTGTTGTATTTTCGCCAATGAGAAAGGTTGATAAGGGATTTATTATACTGTTTTCTGCAAATTAGCTAAGGTGATTATGTTATCAAAGATGAGCTACGGTGATTACTCGGTTAATTGTTTGATTTTTCTGTTATATTTTAAACAGTAAATGTATTTCTTAATTTTAAATTGTTATTTAAAATTAAGATAAATGAAGCATGAGAGAAATCTCCTGATATTTAAATATACTACTAGAAATGCCTTACTAAGGGTGTCCCATAATGAACGCAACAATTGAATTTGCCGCCATTTTTGCAGTAAAATGTTGGCAACCCTAAAAAAAGAACAATTTGACAGTTTAGGATTAGTAAAAAGAGAGTGTTCGAGATGATGTCGCATGCCACACAGTCAGTGAAACAATTCTATTACTGTATGAGACATTTCCTGGCCCTGTATTCTCTCTTTTCGGTGATCAGAATTCGCCCCCTAGTTCGTGTGATTTAACTCCATTGAATTTCTTCTTGTGGGGTTATTTGAAGTCAAAGGTCTGTGTCAAAATGAAGATAAAACAAAGGAAAACTACCGACATATGAGAAAAGGGGGGAAAGAAAAATAATAATAAAAAAATAACAAACAACTGGAAGAAGAAAAAAAAGGATAAATTTTTTAAAAAAAGTCCGGAAAATAAAAGATATAATCTTTTCATCACCCCACACGATTATATCCGTAAAAAAGAGTGCTTTCTGATATTGTATCAATATAGGCAAAGCAAAATATATCAATACAATAATGTGAGGAGCACTCAAAAAATTTTTTACAAAAATTGCAGTAAATAAAATGCAACGCAGTAAGAAGAAATAACACGGAAAAGCAGAAAATAAAATAAAAGAAAAAGAAAAAAACGAATAAGACACTAAACATAATCTATAAAGCGAATAGCGAATTCAAATGTAACTTTATGAACGGGAAATTTTTCAAGAATGATTTAAAATATTTTCGTAACAAGATTGCCGGATTGCAAAATATGAAAACAAAAGTTGTTTTTGCATTTTGTATTTTTTTACTCTTTTCCTGGACTTTTTTTTCAAAACCATAATACAAAATACAAGAACAAAAACAAAAGTTGTTTTTGTATTTTTTCCCCTCTTTTCCTGGACTTTTTTTTTCAAATCCCTAATACAAGATACAAAAACAAAAGTTGTGTTTGTATTTCCTTTCTCTTTTCCTGGACTTTTTTTCAAAACATTAATGCAAAATAAAAGAACAAAAACAGAAGTTGTTTTTGCATTTCGTATTTTTTTTTCCTCTTTTCCTGGACTTTTTTTTCAAAACCATAATACAAAATGCAAGAACAAAAGCAAAAATTGTTTCTGTATTTCGTATTTTTTTCCTCTTTTCCTGGACTTTTTTATCAAAACCCGAATACAAAAACAAAAGTTTTTTTTTTTGTATTTCCTTTCTCTTTTCCTGGACTTTTTTTTTCAAAACCCGAATACAAAAACAAAAGTTTTTTTTTGTATTTCCTTTCTCTTTTCCTGGACTTTTTTTCAAAACATTAATGCAAAATAAAAGAACAAAAACTGAAGTTGTTTTTGCATTTTGTATTTTTTTCCCTCTTTTTCTGGACTTTTTTTTCAAAACCATAATACAAAATACAAGAACAAAAACAAGAGTTGTTTTTGTATTTCGTATTTTTTTTCTCTTTTCCTGGACTTTTTTTTCGAAACCCGAATACAAAAACAAGTTTTTTTTTGTATTTCCTTTCTCTTTTCCTGGACTTTTTTTTCAAAACCTTAATACAAAATACAAGAACAAAAACAAGAGTTGTTTTTGTATTTCGTATTTTTTTTCTCTTTTCCTGGACTTTTTTTTCGAAACCCGAATACAAAAACAAAAGTTTTTTTTTTGTATTTCCTTTCTCTTTTCCTGGACTTTTTTTCCAAACCATAATACAAAATACAAGAACAAAAACAAAAGATGTTTTTGTATTTTGTATTTTTTTTCTCTTTTCCTGGACTTCTTGCAAAACTTGTAGGGTACAGCGAGAGCAATTTTTAGTGTTTTTGTGTCTTTATGACTTCGGGAGCTGGTACCCACTGAGGTTCGGTTGTCATTTTTCGGAAGTCGGTTTTTGTTGTCATTTTTAATATTTTTCATTGTTTTAATTCGTTAAAATTTTCTATTGGTTTGAATTTTCTGACGACATTTTTGCTGCATTTCGCAACTTCCCTTTGGAATTGTAGTATTTAAACGTTTTATACATGATTTTTATTTCTTTTTTAATTAGACTCATCTCTAATTGGTTTAAATGTCTCTCTTTCAGACTATACAAGAACAGAAACAGCCTTCTCTATCATCAGCCTATGCTTAATGTTGATGGGCTTCGGTTTCAGCATTTATACATTCAGGCATCCGAGATACATGTTCAAAAGGCTGGCAGGAGGAGTTCACCTCATTTCCGGTAAGGAAACTTTTTTTCATTCTGCAGATTATCTAGGATAGACTTTGAAAGCGCCAAAAATATTGTTCTCAAACCAATATGCAATCTTTAACTACCTGCAGTCCCTGGGCAAATTACTAGACGCACTATAAGACTCGATGCGAAATCTTAATTATCAGTTTATCTTAATTATCAACTATTATATATTAGGGGAGAGTGAGGTCAATTGTAACAGGGTACGATTGTAGCAGAGAAAAAATTTCGAGTGTCGGGTTCTAGATTTGATTCCTAGGTGGCGCACAAGGTGTATTTAATAAATCTACATGTACACCCTTGCTGGCAACCATTTTTATGTACTTTTGAAAGAGTTACATCACAAAAAATATTTTCACGCTACGCAAGTACTTTTTTTGGTATTAAAATATTATATTGTAACAAAGTAATTTTGTTTAAACAAATAAAAATTATTAACCGAATATGTAAGTGGACACCTTAATTAACATTTCAATAAAAAAAAATTTGTTTTGTTAATTAACTAGCATTGTTTTTAACAAATGAAGCTGAAATGGCGTCTTGGGGACGATTGTAACAATAAGTAAATGGACGATTATAACAGCTGAAAATAAATAATCTTATGTTTACAAACCATTCCTTAACTCTTTAAGAACCACCAGTAGTTTCCTATATCATTTATATTATGTTGCATGTGCATTATTTTATTTGTCACCTTTCACAGCATAAATTAAATTCAAATTTTTAAACCCTTAAAGTTAAAAGTTTAACCCTTTAGGCCTCTGCCCATTATTATTTTCACTCCTACAATATCACTACTATTTTGATCAATAAAAAAATATATCACAACTATGATAATATGTATAATTAACTATGTTTTAGTTGAATTTATGAACTGTTACAATTGACCCCGTAAGTGGGGACAATTGTAAAACGTGCACGACTGTCAAAAATTGTTAATAACTAATATAATAACATTTAAAATAAGGTATTTATTTTTTTTCTAGTAGAGGACAGTCTACTTTACTCGTCTGTCAATTAATACTAATAACATATTGGATTTTTTGTTAGTTAAAAATAGTTAAGTAAAAAATGTTACAATTGACCCCACTCTCCCCTATAGATAAGATATTTAATATATCAGGTATTATATTAGTATATTATAAAAATTAGACCAAATTATAAGACGCACTGTAGTGCTTTAATATTGACATGTTTTGCACGAGTTTATAGGCTATACTTTTATATTTAAACATACATGTAATGGGTTTTTATTCGGGAGATTGTTCATATACTTCCTATTTGTATATATTTTTAACGTATTGCATTACAATGCTAACCAATTCATACACGAACATAAACAAATGCAAACCAGTTTCAGTCTTATAGAAACAGTAAAGTTGTATAGTTTAACCTGATAATTGAGATTTCACGTAGAATCTTTAGTGCTTCTTATAATTCTGCTGATAATCTGCGTTCGTTGAAGTTAAAATGAGGTCTTAGTTAAAACAATATCAACGTTTCTGTAGAGTTATATTTAATTTTATTTTATAACTGCCGTTGAACAGCTGACCCAATTTTCGGTTTACGACTACTGATATTTACCTTGTCATTTTGAACCCAATCCAGAAGACAAGGGAACTCCTGGATCAAGTATGGGGAGAAATTTTGCTTTCGTTCAGGACTTTTTGGTGGAACTAAATCGCATTTGCGGTACATGAAGAGGAAAAGCACGACAACCTCCCACGATTAGCCTGACAACAAGGGGATTCTAACCCATGATCCGTCTGCCACTGAGGATATTTTGCGTCAGCACTGTGGTCGGTGCAACCCGGGTGCGGAATACGTATCGAGCAGTCATCGCTGGTATTCGAACCTGGTTCACCTTATCAGAAGACGAACGCACTATCTCCTGAGCCATCGCGGCTCTGTGGACTTTCGTTAACGAAATGTTATTTATTTATTTTCCGTAAATTCCAAAGTCAATTTAATACAGTATTCTCTCGATGTAAGTTGAAGGGATACTAAAAATCGACGTAGCGAATTTTCGTAATAGTAAGCTCAGAAGTAAATATGTTCTAAGAAGTAGTAAAATATTACTCTAAAGAGTAGAGTCATGACACATACTAATAGATACATATGTAATGATAGTTGACTATAAGTCTAAATGCAGCAATTACAATAGAAAAGAATTGGTTTACAATAAACTTACATTTTGAGTGTTCCGCGAAAAAAATTCGACGTAAAAAATTGAGAAAATACCTTTTGACGTAAGTATTCAAATTAACATTTAGTGGATATATAATGCCGCGGGAAAAAATCTTTTTTGGACCAATCAAGGTTTTCGGGAATATCGAAGTTCGAGATATCGTGAGTATATACTGTACAATCAAAACGTAATTCATAATTAAAAATAATAAACATAATTTTTTCTGAGAGCTAAATTAGTAAATTTATAACGTCAAAAATATAAATAATTCTTAACGAACAATTCGTTGAAAAATTGAATAAAAGTGAATCTAACTTTTAAACTCTAAACGTAAATACTTAAAATTCTTTTTCTCATTTCTTAAACTTATATTTAGTTTTTAAATTAACGTTTTTTTTTAAGAAATAAATTTAGTTTAACTTTCAAATTATCCGGAGCTTAACAAAATAGACTCTCCTAAAAGATTTGTGGTATATTTTATTATAAATTTCGGGATAAAAATGGTGAAGAAATAGAATTTTTTTTTTTTTTACCTCCTTCAAACGATTTTTAGTCTTTGCTAAACGAGTATTCTTTTTTCTTTTTGAAGCAGAATTAATCTCGGTTTTTATGTTTAATTCAAAACTTAATTTAAATTCTGTTAGAGAATAAACGTTTTAATGAAATTCTTTGTTTAAGTTGCGGGGCAACCGTAAATGTAAGAATTTTTCCATGAACTAACATTGGAAAAGAATGTTTAAAAGTGATCTCAAGCTATTATTAAATTTCTCTTTAGTTCCATTTGCTCAAACAATAACATATTTTTAGTTAAATGCAGCGTTTAAATTAATGATATTAACATTAGTTCAGCAAATCGAGCTGAGTTTTCCGCAATCGAGCCATATTTGTTGAGTGACAGTACCCAAAAAATGACCAAAATATCGATATTTTTTTATTGCTTACATCAAAAAATTTAAAAATAGTTATTTTAGATTGCTCTAAATCAGAAATTTGATCAGCATGCAGACTTTAAACTGTTTTTTTTTGTTGCTCATAGATGACAATTTTGTGTTTTGATCTTAATTAAATCCCTAAGGAAATTTTTCTGTTTAAGATAAAGCTTTGAAGTAAACTTTTTTATCTGACGTATAATACACTTATTTAAACGGTGTATGGAATAAGCCTTTTATGAAGTATTACAATTTTCACAGCATGTTATATATACTTAACAGGAATTTTTACCTTTTCTTTTCTACTTTTTTTGCAAAATAATCTATAAAAAAAAATGTTCGAATTGATATATCAACAGATGAATGCACAAAATTGTTAACATGAATATTGTAAGCACTTAGGAAATAAATAATTTGAAAATATGTTGAAATAAAAAAGCGTAAGGATTTAAAAATTTTGAGTTTTTAAATTTTTTTTTTAATTTTAAAGAAAAATTAAACATTTTAATTACTTGTTGAAGATAAATTATTGACTATAAGTTAAATGAGCATGTAAAGCATCCACAAAATGAATGATTATACCCTTATTTTAAAAAAATATTGCAAGGGTACTGTGATCCCTTACGCCAAGCATAAATTCTACCGGCGTTCCGGTTTTTCTCGTGGTTTCCGATAAATTCCTGTGATAATCAAGTTCCCAAGTTCTATTTGCCTAAACAATAACATATTTTTAGTTGAAGGCAGCGTTTAAATTAAGAATATCAATATCTGACCTGCAAATCAATCTGGTTAATCTGCAAAATAGCCAGATTTGTTATGCTTAACAAAGCCAAGCATTATTTCTAACAATGTTCTGGTTTTTCTCTTGGTTTCAATCATATTACCGGGATAATCCACCTCTGAGAACAAAAATATTACTCATTATAGTCAAGTAAATATAATCTATCGTTTCTAGTTTAGGGCTTCTCCAAGCACGGGACTTGTAAGACATGACCATGCAAAAACTGTTTGCAGCCTCTACAAAGATAAATTAAACGATGTTCTGATGGTTTATTGAAATAGACAAGCACTCAACCCCCTTTAAGTCATGCAAATATTTTTTTTTGGAAAAAAATAACAGCATTTGTTTTTCTAAAAGATCGGAAATCAATCAAGTAGAATAACGCAAAACTAAATTCGTTATGGTTAAATAAATTTAAATAAAAAACAACTTTTTATATATATATATATATATCTCTTGTGAAGAAGTTGATTACAATTAAACATTTAAAAACCAATTATTGCTTTCTTTCAGCTGCCGCTACTCTCATCGTAGTTGAGGTTGTCATCAACTCAGTGGCTTACGAAGAGCGTTTCTTGTCTGACAGACATCCAAAAGGGGCTGTTTGGTCTTATGGCTATTCATTCGTCCTCGCCTGGATCACTTTCGTCATTCTCGTTATCAGTGGTCTCACCTTCTTAATTTGCTCCAGGAAAAGAAAGGGGATACCAGGAACTGGAGACGACACTCCAAATATTTTGGGAAGAATGTGAAAAATGTATTGAATTGTCATTGAAACTTGCGCATATGGAGTCAGTTCTGGGCATTGAGGATTGTTTGCATTGGAAACTCGTAATGTGTGTTAAAGTCTAGTAGTACTGTTGTTTTGATGTGGCACAGAAACCTTTGAACCTTGCAATGATGGATTTTGTATGGCACCGAAACCTCTGAACCATGCAATGATGGTTTTAGTATGACACCGAAACTTCTGAACCTTGCAATTACGGTTTCGGTGTGGCACCGAAACCTTTGAACCTCGCGATGGTTTTGGTGTGGCACAGAAATCTCTGAACCTTGCAATGATGGTTTTGGTGAGGCACCGAAACCTTTGAACCTCGCAATAATGAATTTGGTGCGGCACTGAAACTTTTAAACTTTGCAATAATTTATCGCACTTTTATTGTATTGATTTCAAATAAGAGAAGCCTACCAGTACAATGCAATTTGCTTTGCACATAGATGAAAACATTAAAAAACGTACTACGTACTTAGAAAGCTTATTGCTTAAGAAGGCATGATGCCTCTATCACGTTCATGTACTCATTCGTTTTTATGTAACGAATTTATACATAATGAATTCGGTTTTATACAGCGAATGGTATACGGAACGAAAAGTTTTAATGGAGTTATGGTGTATGTGAATATTTTAATAAACTGCACTCTGAAAGCACTTTCATTCGATAACTTTTCGAAATGAAACAATGTTTGTAAGTTGTTCAACTTTGATCTCTTGTGAACGAGAGTTATTCGAGCAAGTTATCTTAGATGTTGAGAAAAACTACTAAGGTAAAAACTATTCTCTAATGACAAGTTAATTAGATTATATTCAGTGTGCCAATATGCCACAACTGAAATCTTTCTAGCACATAACATTGGTTTTAAAAGGTTTAATTCCGATTTTCAATTAAATTATTCTTTTCTACACCGTGGAAAAAAGTATGGTCAAAAGTACCAGAATATGGTAACATTTACCGTGTTTCTGGCTCCATGGGAACATTGAAAAGCTTGTTAATTTCTACCAAAGCGGTATGGTAAAATTAACAATGTAACTTATGATGTTTTGTGCTGAGTAATTATTTTCTACTGCAGGTAGAGATAAGTAGTAAGGTAAGGTAGTTAGTAGGATAAGCAGACTTGGATCTATGCCGCAGTTTATTGCTATCTCGAATAATTATTTATTTTGCGTACATCCCTTGTTTTTGTGATAAATGTTTTGTTTACTAACTGAGTTTAAATCATTTAAATGAAAGGGTAAGACGATCGTCCCATGTTTATTGTGTATTTATACAAAACCAATGACTTTCAAAACCACGCGATCAGCATGGTGTCAAAATTTGTAGGTGGTGCATAAATATTATTTTTAAAAAAAAACTTTTCGTTTTCAATAATGCGTTGGTTTTTTAAAAAAATATTATCCTCAAATTTTGAAACTTAATTTCTCTCAGAAGAAATGTTTACAAATTTCGTAAATAATTTGAACTTCTCTCTACCTGTGATAAAACTAACACTAAACATACCAACACTTAATCTATACTAATTTCTGCCATAGCCGGTCAAATTACCGTATTTTATGTTTCTTGATTGAATGAATGAAATATGGATGTTAGGAAGGAAATAAGCTCAGAAAACTTAATTATTATAATTTAAAAAAATTGTATATTGACAATTTTAATATATTACAAACACAAAGAATAAGAATTTTTTTTTAGTTCAATGCTCAGCACATTTTTTACATATACAGGGTGTTTACATTGTACATTTTCAGCAAACATATTTCTTCTAATTATTCTTATAATTGTAAGAATATATACGAATTATAATTCTTATAACAGGGCTCGAAAAAACTCAAAAATTTTACCCGTCCCCGAGGACGGCTTGTCCAACAATGTACCCGTCCTCCTTTGAAACTAACCCGTCGGTTTTAAATAAATAAAAATATAATTTTCTCTTATTTATTACTAACATTTATATAAATTGCACAATGAATTAGTAGTTACTAGGATTACAAATACTAGGATTGCATTATACAGTAATAAAAGGAATACTAATAATTACTAATAGGAACCTAGTATTTCTTTTATAAAATAATTTATTTCTTTTATGAAATAATTTTTTTCTTTTATGAAATAATTTAAATGAAAAATGCCAAGTTATCTGGAATGTCAATTTATCCGAGGGTGCTGCCGTTTTTAAATGAATCAAATATGACGTTTGCCAGTTCCACAATCAAGCTAATGATTTACAGAGGTTTCTGCACAGAAATCTGAAAGGGGTTTTCCATGTAGGTAGATGTTCATAATTGCGTTTAATGCTTCTTGTTTAAGACCAGTACGTAATGTTTTTTTTTGTAAGTCCATTGCTGAAAAGTCCCTTTCAATTGCTGCAGTACGGGAGACAGAGAAAACATCAATTCCACCATGCGCAGTATGTTGCTGTATTTCTAGATTAGAGGGTCATTTTAGAAGTGAGGCGCTAAACTCTTGTAAGATAACAAAAATTGAAAATGTATCACCAACTTTAACGGGAAAATGGCCGTCCGCGCGGACGTCGGATTCGAGAAATTCGTTGTCCGCGGGGAATTTTTGACCGCCGAGGACGGGTGGTTTTTCGAGCCCTGTCTTATAATTAATATTATTTCTTCTAAGAACTTGCGCTGTCTTGATTGTTTCGACATTTTTCTGGGTAAAATCTAACAATTAGTTAGAACTGAAGTAAAGCTATCAAAATAAAGTATAAGCTACTTACCAAAACATTCAGTTTTTGTCACTTTTTCTGACAAAAATGTCAATCTAAAATTTTAGGAACTTTATAGAAATTTAAATTTTAAATTTAAATTTCTGATGAAACTAACTGCGCAACAGTCTTTGCAGAAATGTGCGCAACTAATAGAATGCAATACGTTGAACATGCCTTACATCGTCATTTCTGATCCAATAACCTTATAAAGCATCAAATTGCTCTCCCGGTCAAGTGACCAGTTGTGGTAGAAATATGTATACGATAAGTATTATTCAAAGCAAAAGAAAAGAATAATAATAGAATATTAACTGTATATAATTGTTAGAAAAAGTCATGAAGTCAAATGTGCAAAAACGACAAGATGATAAGCGCATTTTCGATACAAAAGTTCTTAAACGGTCATTAACCGATTATGGTAGGTTTAGTGTGAAGAAATACTGCTAAAGATTTTAAACCTCTCTCTTGCCCTCATAAAATTATTAAAATTTCATGAGGTGAAAAAAAAATTTAAATTTTAATATTACTTAAATATTTTTACCTTTTCTATTTCGAACAAAACTACTAAATATAATATTTCAATAATATAATTTTAATAAGGACGCGTTAGATCATTTTTTTCATACAAATTTTTCTTAAATATATTAAAATATTAATAACATTTCCTTCTAATTCACTTATTATTCGTATAATTTGTTTATGCATAAGCGTGGTGTTTTTAAGATTTCATATCATTAAAATACTAACTTGAAAAAAATCCCGAAGAGGAAGAAAAACTTTTGTAAGTTATATACTTAGAGGTTAAACAACTTTTTCAACAAATAAGACTTCATTAGATAATATTCAGTAACTTCATAAAAATAAATCCAGCTTTTTTTTCTGTAATAATTATGCATCCACGCCTTACCGTAATATTTAAACTACGAAGTTTTCTTTAATTTTTAACGTTTGAAGAGCTGTTGTTATATTTATTTATGGTGCTTTTCATTTTAATACTAAGCTGTTGTGGTGCTTTTTTACTTTAAGGAAATATGGAACAGAAAAATAAGTGAAGTGTTAAGGATATTAAACTTTATATAAAACGGTAGCTAAAAAAGGTGTTAAAGTTTCAGATTGAGCTAGACTGTATAAATGATAATCTTTAAAAAAAAAATTTGACCATTTTAAGATATGTTAAGTATTTAGTGAAAGAAATTATAAGTTCTTTTTTTAATTAATGATATCAAACATTTTTTTTTTACTTAAGAGTTTTGAGAATTTTTAGAATGAGAAAATAATTGCGTATTAATCATAAAAGGTTAAGGTGTAAAAAAAGTCGAAACTCCTCTTATAAAGTGTACGATATAATTACCCATTGTTTGTTATTAAAAATAACACGATTTGGTAGTTTAATATCTTACGTTTCTGATATTTAACTTATAAGTATCCCATGCAATCGGAATTTGCTTGTTCTGTTAAAATTAATCATATCCATGAAAATGAAACTTAGTTGCTATGAATTGCAGTATAATTTTGATTAAATGTTTTTAAATGATCGAATTAAACCAGATATGGTAAAATTATAAAGGGTTTGCGATGAATTAGGTTCTGCACTTTATCGTTGATCACGTGACTCAAGTGCGGAGATTTTATTCCGAATGGTTTGAAAAGTACTTGAAGAATGGGATATTTGCAAGTGACGTAGCGTCGGTATCTCGATCCTGATTGGTTGCTGAAGCGTGTTTACGTCAACAACTGTTCTTTTCAGTCTATTTCGAGTAAGACAAGCCCGCCCACCTCGAGTAAGACCGTTTCGCAAAGATTTCAATTTTCTTTTCTCTTTATATTTCTAGTTTTACACAAAGACAGACACTATAGGCCATGCAGAAGAAAAAGAAAATAATTGTGCATCGAAGTTGCCAGGTACATTAAATAAAAATACACCAGGGTTACAATAAAATTCATAAACAAGTAATAAATGTAATTTAGGTAAGTAAAAGACGTAGACTAGAAATAATTTTACTTCAACAAATTCGATGTGCAGTACGGCACTGTATTTAATTAGCTTCACTTTAACATTTTAACCTGTGTGGAGAAACTTACCTGAACTTTAGAACGCCATTTTTTTTCAAACGATCAGCTGACGTCATAGGTCATATGTGTGGGTATATGTGTTCTTCTTGAAGTGCAAGCACACTATTATGTATGTTGTTGTGCACCTATTTATGTGATGGGATTTTAATATGGTAGTTCTAGAAATTTGAACGTCAGACTGAGGATCATGTAGATCATGGGTTTCCAACTGGCGGCCCGGGGGCCGCATCCGGAACGTGAAGCCTTTTTTGTGGCCCGCGAACTAAAATATATTAGTTGTCATTTTTTTGCGGACAATTTTTGTAAAAAATCTATATGGGTTTAAAATACTTTTCTCGTTAATAAAAACCTAATTTCTTCGTTTCTGGGAAATTTTAACATACCAACGGGGCAAAAAAATTTATTTTTCAGGTTTTGCATCCTAGGAAATATTTATTCAAATACAAAAATAATCGTGTATGTTGCTCTTTATTATTACATTTTTTAAAAAAATTATAATTAGCATGTGTGCATCAGAAAATTTAACTTTTTCTCCGATTTAACTTTTTGAAACCTCTCATTTTTGACGAAAATATTTACACACACATTTGTAAATTTTAAATGTAAGTCCGGTGGTTGCAACAGACAAACCTCAATTTTCTCATAGAATATTTTGTGTGCTACTATGTAAGTTTGAATACCTTAACAATTAGATATCTGTTGCACATTAATTGTTTAATACATTGGTGCACATTAAAGTTATTGTAGCCCGAATTTTTATTATTTATTTAATATTTTTAAAAATATTATTATTAACAATTAAATATTTTCAAAAACTACTTCTTATTTTAATTTGTAATTCAATACTTTTGTTTTGTACAACTTGGTAAAACTCTGACAGTAATATTTAATGTTCCTTCAAACATAAAAGAGTCCTATATAAAATTTTGATAAAGTTGTGGCCCGCTATTTGACTATTGTTTTTAATTGCGGCCCCCGGCCTCATGTAAGTTGGAAACCCTTGATGTAGATGAAATAAGATGATTGTAGAAACGTTGGCGCTTTAATATTTACACTCTTGGCGACTTAATATGGTGTCAAAGAAAGACTTTTTTTAGATGGTCGCCAGCTGTTTTTTCGCCAAATGCACTTAAGCATTTAATCTCTTCATCTGTTCCAGAAACAACTGGTACTTCTCCAGTGCTTTCATGCAATAAGATCTGCGAAATTAAATAACTTAGTAAAATGAATTTATGTTGAATAATTAACTAAGTCTAAATTTTGAAAAATATTTTTTTTTATATAAAACAAAACGCCTTTTAAATGTTAAAAGTCCCACAAAGCTTTCGATTAGAAATTAAGGAGAACAAATTTTATCCTGCATATTCTGGGAAATCGAGAAACTGTACGATATTTTTGATCAATCTGATTGTTTC